CCTCATATAAAGCCTCTTTCTAAAATAAAGCTTTATTTAAACAGATGTTCTGTAGGCAACTGATTAATAAGGGGGTCAGAGGTCCATCAGTGACTGTGATGCAGTAACAGTGAAATGTCCATCAGTGATTGGCGCGTCAGTGTGATGTCATCCTCTAGTCATGTGACTCTTAAAGCAGGCTAAGAGGATTACTGAATCTCTCTTCAGTTATTGTCTGCTTCAGTCTTTTGTTTTCACAGAAGAAGACAAGGCATTTGTGGGTTGTCAAGATTTATTAATCACCTGATGAAATTGTAGATGAAGCTTAGTGAATTCTCTGTGTTTCTGCTGCTGGTCTGCATCTCTCTGCAGAGAGCTGACAGCCATTTACCTAACTTCAGTCCTGGAACTCCCCCTCTGCAGGTAGGACAAATGCAAGCTGGGAAGAAAACCAGTAACCCTGACACTGAGCTAATCAGCTGCAACCAAAGTCAGCTCTGATTTTGACTTAAATCAGAAGTGTATTATTCAGATTAATACCACAGGTGGCAAATTTACAGGCAATATTTACTTCAGTAGAAGTACAGATACTTGTGTTAAAATAAAGCTTCAGTAAAAGTTGAAGTACGGATTGAACTTCTTTACTGACATAAAACTGAAAAAGTACAGCTCCAGAGTAACCAGACAGGATAATGTATATTTAAATATATAACTTTCTACAGGACTGAATATAATATTTTTATGTAAAAGTCCAGAGCCTCTGAAGATTATCTGAGTACTTCTAACATTACACAAAGCAAAGGTGTCCATCACGCTTGTTCATGAAACTTGGTTTATCCATTTTCTGGAGCGGGCCAACAGTGAAGCTCTGAAGATTTCCCTCTGAGGGAGCTGTAGAGATCAATGGTGAAGATCATTGATCTATGCAATGAGCTTCAGTCTTTCTGATGTTTCTGAAATTATGCCTCTCTCAGTGGGTCAACAGAACATCTGGCACAGGACAGCTGTGATAAAAGAAAGGGAGGAAGTTTCTCCAAACCTCTGGACCCAGGAAACCCAGCTTGGTCCTGATGGTCTCCCTCATTAGGTTTACTTAACTGTGAATCTAGCTGTTGATCATAATGTGAACGATGTTATTACATGAAAAGAACAAATTACACTAGTTTTTATTTAAAGTTTATGTGTTACCAGGCTGTAGAGTGCTCAGTGAGTGTAATGGATCTAAAACTGTTTAAATCTTTAGTCTTATATCATCCTCAGTCTTATGTTAAAATCTCAAAGGACAATGTTTGATGTTTAGTAAAGACGCTGGATTTGTGATTCCTTGCAAGCTTTGTTTAATGGGTAACTGAGCAGGCATTACATGCAAGCAGCTTGACTCCAGCGTTTTCTTACTGCATGCATGCGCAGTGCACTATTCTGAACAGGTAATAATAATAATAATAATGGATTGCATTTATATAGCGCTTTTCGGGACCCTATTCAACCCCCATTATTAAACAATACCAGTCAGATGTTCTATGTCCCCTTTCTTTAGGTTAAGACTGTATAAACAACAGATTCTAATCCACAACATTATAGCCTGGACATTAACCATTCACTTCAAACCTGGAACTGTCATTGGTAAGAATATAGTAAACATTTAACATTTGACCTTGTCAACATCACGTTACATGTAGTTTCCATGGATTTCGTTTTCTTTGTGCTCTGGGGAACAGGCGGTTGATGGTTGGACCACGGTAGAGTCATCGTGGGAATCTCCGTGTTGTGGTGGTGCTTCAGGGACTGGGAGGACATGCCTGCGGTTCCGCCTATACTCTCCGCCTCCTGACTGTACAATGTATGATCTGGATTTCTTATTAGTCCCTAAGGAGTCATGTCCATGATGCGTTTGCATCCTCACAACCTCACTTAGCACGAGGGGATGGAGTGGTCTGCTGGAGTTGTCATAGCATTTCTTTTGTGCATGGCGCTTATGAACTAGGCTTGTCTTAACAGCTGTGTTGCTTTTGGGCCTGGGAACCAGCAGATGTTGCATGATAGTGCATGTTTGCCTTGACATGAGCCTTTCAGCTGGAGAACCTAGTGTGTGAGCTTGAGTGGCTCTTTTTGTTTATGTGGCCTGGTGCTGTTGCACACCGGACACGCAATTGTTTCTTGCCCTATATCTTCAGTTATTGTGGGCCAAAACACGATAGCATGGGCCCTGCGTTTAGTAGCTTCTGTGTCTGGGTGCCCTCTGTGGAGGACAGTGATTTAATCCTTTTGTAAAGACTTTGGGATCACTGTCTTCAGGCCTTTCTTGACAATGTCATCTTCAAGGGGGAGTTTATTTGATATGGGTAGTATTCACGAATTTCTGTGAGCAGCTGAGTTTGTCTGCAAGGCCAGCCCTTCATTGTGACAGTGCTCAGTTTCTGTAGCTCTGGATCGGCGGCAGTGTGTTCCCACAGTTCAGTCAGCCTAAGGAAGAGATGTGTTGGATCAACATGATCTTGTTGTTGGGTTCGGGAGCAAACAAAAGCATTCTAGCTTTTTAAATGGTAATGTGTAGCTTTTTAAATAGGTTTAATGTATGTGTTGTAGGTTGCTAACATTATTCCCTCCTGTTTGACATTTTAAAAGCTTGTGTTTTCAATTATCAGTACAGCATCACTTTCAGGTGCATTTTCAATGCTTACTTCATTTAAATGCAATCTTCCATGTCCTTCTTTGGGTCCTCCTGGGCTAATGTGTAGTAAATAAAGGTATTAGTCACCATCCTTTGTATCATGCTTTTTATGCAGGGGAGAATACAGGTCACAGCAATAAACATAAGAACTAAAACAACAAATACTGGGGTCACAATCTACAGTAGCATGTGCTACCAAGGTCCAGAAGTCAGCCATGCGAGCCAGTCCTGTGTTGAGGCTCATGGTGTGTGGTCTGCCACATGCCTTTGCAGCACGGTTAAGTTCTGTAGGTCCTCATAGATGTCGCTGCCAGTGGAGTATTCGTCTGGAATGAATGTGCAACATGTCTCACCAATTAGCTTACACACGCCACCTTGGGATGCGGTTAGCAAGAATGTTATACGGCCATAATCCAGAGCTGTGAGTGGATAGTGGCATGTGGGCACATACGTAGCAGTCCATCTTGTTGTTAAGGTGCGCCGTGGTGTTCATCATCTGCCACCAAAAGTTCGTAGAATAGCCATGAGGTTATTGAGTGTGGCTTCCTCGGTCCCATAGTGCTTCAGCTGTCGTCACGAACAGGAATACTTTCAGCCACGCTGTCATCCTTGTTGCTGACTAAAGGTAAGGGAGTCATTGGTTTCTTCACCGGGTTTGAGATGGAAGGTCCTAGAGGCTTTCTTCCCCCTTTGTAGTCGGACTCGGGCTCAGCGTCAAGGTGCGTGATCTTCTTGCAGTGACTCTGGTGAATCCATGTTGATCTTTCAGCAATGTTATTTTTAAAAGGAAATTGGATCCAGTTGTTTTACTGCTGTTATGCTGCTCCCTCCTGTTGAGTCATGACCACGTCCATGGCTCAAAATTTCAGCAGCAGTCTTGTAGAAGTGTTCATAATGCAAATGACAACAACAATGTCACAAAGGAAGACCCTCTGTAGAGTGTCAACCTCTGTATGGCACAGCGAAAAAACATTAGGTGATAATCTTTGAGAAATTGCCGTCAGTCAGTTCCTGTCACCGCCATAGCATCTGTTTTCTGTGTTGTTTACAGAATCATGATGCCATCCCTGAACTTCCTCTGTGCTTTCGGTTGGAGCTTGGCATGCTCCCCTTATCCTTCAGATAACCATTCTGTTGTCCACCATCTCCTGTTGATGCTCTCTAGGAAGCCCAGTGGTACAGCTCTCTGCGGGTCGTCAGCTGGAGGTGGTCTCCACCCCTCACTGATCCTCTTGTCGCCTCTCTCATAGCCTCAGTCTGCATCTGCATCTCATTTTCTTCTTCCATCACTTTACCTTTTTCCACCTGTAATTTAAGCCTCCCCAGAAAATCCTCGTTTGCCACATGGCCCTTGCCATGTGTCAACTTCACACAATTAGACATACATAAGAAAGTTAGTTGCACATTCTCTCTTAAAGATTCCCAGGGCTTGTCTGTTAGGCTGAACGAATGGACTCTATGGCAGAACAAACGCAGGGAATGCAGAAAGTGCTCTTTATTTACAGTGTCTGGATTATTTACACAGGGTGGGAGATTATGTACAGTGATAAATAAATGGAGGGAAACCAGGAAAGGGGGCTGACACGCACTCGGGGGGAAAGGTATAATCGGCACACACAGGGTTGATCTACGAGAAAAAGGAAAGCGAAATTTTAGGGGAAGATACCAAACATCCATCCATCCATCTTTTCGCTTCCGCTTATCCTTTTCAGGGTCGCGGGGGGCGCTGGAGCCTATCCCAGCTGTCATAGGGCGAAAGGCGGGGTACACCCTGGACAGGTCGCCAGTCTGTCGCAGGGCTAACACATAAGGACAGACAACCATTCACACTCACATTCACTCGCACATTCACACCTAGTGGCAATTTGGATTGTCCAATTAACCTATCCCCACAAGCTGCATGTCTTTGGACGATTTGGAGATACCAAACAATCAGTAAAAAGCGGCAATAAACATGGGGAGAGTTGGAGAGCTCACTTCTCACACTGGCAGTACAGGTTTGGGCGAGAATCTCCAGGATGCGAAGGTAAAGATGCGATTGATGTTTGAAGTGATCCCGGAAATACGGCTTTACCAGCAGCTGACAGGCAAGCGGGTGATGGATCCGGCTAAGGATACAGGACAACAGGTAAGCAGACAAAGTCCAAAACATGGGTTGGCTGTAGTGCACACCGCAGAGATTAACAAACACGTTACCACTCAGGGAGGCAACAATACTCCGACACCAGATGTCTGTCGCGCTGCTCCTAAATAACGCTCCATCAAATGACGTCTGATGTACCACTGGTGTGCCAGCATCCTGTGAGACACCGTCCCACCTACCTGTGCTGAAAAAGGAAGCAAACCCATGACACCTCACCAGAGAAACCCCACCAACTCCTAATAGTCCCCCCCCCTCAACGGGCGGCCCCCGGAAGGGCTTACCAGGATGTCTCTTGTAAAAGTCAGCAATGACATCAGGGTCCTCAATAAACGAACTCGGAATCTAGTACTGATCCTCAGGCCCGTACCCCTCCCAGTCCACCAAAAACTGAAAGCCCTGGCCCCAGCGGCGCATGTCCAGTAGCTGCCGGACTGAATAGATAGAAATGCCATCCACTACTCCGGCGGGCGGGGGAGGGGGGGGGGAATCGGACGGGGGGCACAACGGGCTGCGAGAAACAGGTTTGAGCTGGGAAACATGGAAAGTAGGATGAATCCTCATGGAAGCGGGCAGTTGCAGTCTGACACATACAGGATTAATGAAGCATTG